ATTACATAACAACAGTCAGTTGAAACCAAAATCATTATGACATCGAGGTCTGTGCGAATCTCCAAGCATAAGCCTCCCCAGATGATGTTACATGCAGCATAACGTTCACCACGGTGTCTCAAGACTCGATACCGCCTGTCACATGCTCAGTGTGAACCCACTCTCATCTGTGAGGAGAACAGGGCGCCAGTGGCGGACCTGCCAATTCTGGTGTTCTCTGGCCACAGCCAATCAAGCTGCACGGTGCTGGGTTGTGAGCACAGGCCCCACTAGAGGTTGTCGGGCCCTTATGTCACCCTCATGGAGTCTGTTTCTGACAGTTTGGTCAGAAACATGCACACCGGTAACCTGCTGGAGGTCATTTTGAAGGGCTGTGGCAGTGCACTTCCTGTTCCTCCTCTCACAAGGGAGCAGATATTGGTCCTGCTGCTGGGTTGATGCCCTTCTAAAGCTTTGTCCAGCTCTCCTCGTGTACTGGCCGGTCTCCTGCCATCTCCTCCATGCTCTTATGACTAAAAACCTTCCTGGAGAAGCTTGACTACTTGTGCAACCTGATTGGACTGCAGGTACCGCCTCATGCTACCAGTATTACACAAAACTAGAGAAGAACCAGTCAGGAAGGATAAGGAGAGCACAATTGTCTGTGGGGCCATTTCTCTTTTTGGGGGTTGTCTTGCTTTTGTCTCTCCATTGCGCCTAATGTTACTTTAATTTGCACAAAGCAGTTGAAATCGATTCTCAAACACTTATGCTTCCTAAAAGGACAGATAGATATCCATGAGGTTAAACCGACGTTATACTGTGACCATCAAGCGTTCCCTTCATTTTTTTGAGCAGTGTATAAATTCTAGGATCTTGACTTGCAGGTGACTGTTACCTGAGTTCAGGATGCTCTATTACCATCAGCTTCACAGTCAGACAGAATCTCTCCTCCATCTCCGAGAATCAAAGCCAAAACATTAAAAGCCGCCCTCTGCCCTTTCTTCAGATTCTCATTTATATATTTATATCCACACAGACAGGAAGGCAGTACATGAAATTTCTCTTTGAACCAACTTCTGAGGAATGTTTTCATAGTTACCTGCTTCAGACAGCTGTCGCGAGACAGGGGAGGACTCTCAGTTAATAACATCAGAGTTAAAAGAGCAGATTCACGTTTGGATTCAAGAACTGAAAGAAATGGAAAGTAAAAGTTAATGATGAGAGGAAATGTACAAGACCTTGGCTTAACACAATCACAGAAAATGTTACCTGTTAATGACATGCATAAAATTGGAAATTTGTGAGACCCATTCAAGTTTTTCAAGTTTATTCTACTATACTACTACTTTTGGGATGTTTGGAAATGTATTTCAAAGGAATCACTGAAATATTACATTTAAGCTTTAAGACACTTGTATGCATACACATGCTCGACCATCTGACCTGTCAATCTCCACATTTCACCACCTTTGTATTTCATCAATTAATAAAACCAAATTCAGAAATGAACACTTGAACAAACATCATTGTCACAAGAACAAACTAAAATGAACAGAAAACATATTCTATTATACACCTTTTTTTTTGTTTTGTCCATGTCTGGAGAAAATGTCTCCTCCACCACATCAAGGCTGCTCAGAGAAAACACTCAGTGCACAATCAGCAGCCTTTGTCCTTAATCTGAGGTAAATCTGAACGTGCAGAGTGCCATTTTCTGGCATCGAGCCTGAGGATTTCTGGGTAGTGAAGGTGAAACTTTCCTCACAGCGACCTCTCTCTGCCCCCAACGCGCTCCACGGCATGGTTTTGACTTGTTTTTTCCCTGCAGTGAAGTTGAAAAGGGGCAGAAATGTCTTTGTTTTGCACTCGAGCAGTGGACTGATCCCCTCCATGCAGGAGCTGCCAAGGCCTCAGCAAACAAGCAGCTAATCTAAGTGAAATCTATCTTTACTGGATTCACAAGGCAAGAAAAATACTGTCATTAGTCTCAGTGTCAAGAATAATTCAGGCCTTTGTCTCGGTGCTGCTGCTACAGCTGCAGCCACTAATTTATTCAGAAACATAATGGGCTCATGAAATACACCGGATGCTCCATGAGCACCTAAACAACACAGAGAACAAATTTACATCTATTTACATCACTGGCAAAAGGGACCTTCTTTTGTTAGAGCAGGTTATTCTGCATGGCAACCGAACTACTGACTCATTCAGTTTGTATCATCTGTAATCTCCCCAAATAAACACATCACTAGATAATGTCTTCAGTCAGTTGTGTAACAAAATGTAATAAATAAGTTCCTCTATGCACATCAACATCATATTGGTACATTACCCAAGAGGTGCAGCTTTAGTTTCCTTTCACAGTATTAATTAATACTAAAGTGGGACTTTTTATCAGTTGTGACACAGAAATAATCGACGCGTCTCAACAAGGACAAGTGGTATCAAGGTCCCATCGATGCACTGACCAATCACAAACCAGTCTGACTATCTCTGACTGTATCTGGCTGCTGTTTGCTGCTGAGCAGGTAGCATCCAGTGGGTTGTGGGAGCTTTTATGTTGAAAATGACAAGATGGGAGTAAAATAAAACCGTAACAATATGAACCTGACAGATAAAATGAGCTGGAGCTGAATATAGAGCTGTGACGTAGGACGAAGCTCAGGATAGTCGCTCATTTACCTTGAGGGACCGATGACCACATGTTTTACTGCTGTGTGAGGGGTTGTAGTGTTGGTCTGACTGTGGTCGGCCTGCTCACCAGTCCAGCCACGCAGGGACAATAACACGCAGCGAGGCCGGACTGTCCTGGATGCTTCACTGAGGCAGCAGCAGAAAACAACAGGAGGAAAAACTGAGGAGAATATAAACGACCTGCAGAACGGACATATTTACTTTTAAGAATTCGGATACCTGAAAAAGACATTCTTTTGTTTATTGCATGTTTTAGACGACAAAACATGCCCTGTAATTAATTCTCGACTCAGAGGCTACGGGTTGTTTCCCATTTCGTTTCATCAACATTCAAACAGTTTAACATGCATATTCAATTAGTTCATCAAAGAAAAGAGGAAATTGTGTCACTGCAGCATGAAATTATAATTAATACCAGATAAAAAGGCAGAAAAACGAAGCTGGCAAAGTGAGTTACGTTAAGTTATGCAAAAAGGTTCAGCACATGATAAATGATAATATATTCATGGTAGTTCTATATAAAAATATATAAAAAATGGAGAAAAAAACCTGAAAAAGACCTGAAAATATCAAATATACATGATGTACTGTACGATGTGCAGTGCGTAGGGTGAGAGACGATATGTGGTTTCACACAACACACTGAAGTGTAAATAGGACATCTGATGAGACAGTGTTGTACCACCCACTTCTTATGGAGCCACAGAAACATTATATTAAATCCAAAGCTGGTTTTAAAGCTCAGAAACACAGATACTGAGCTCATTTCTACTTAGAAGCTGCAAAACAAAAACTAAAAGGTTGAATTTGAAGTGAGCACGTCATACTGTACATCATTTAACACAGTGACATGGAGAGGCCACCATCACCTGCTCGTTTCACATAAGGACTTGGTATGGAAGATGGTTTTGTCTTGTTCACTCAACCACTGTCATCCTGTCTTATCTTATCATATGAACTAATGGACTTTTTCTTTGACAGTGAACTAATCTGTAGTATATTAAGATTTGTGTTCAGATGATTTTATTAGAAGAAACTTTTTGACTCACTACGATAGTTTAAATTTCATTAGCCGGGGGCTGTGTTGAGTTTATGAGCAGTTAATAGCACAATTCAAACCAATGTATCTTCAAACATTTCTCATCATTTTCTTGACATTTGTGTAGATTTAGTTGAAGAAAAAAGATTCAATCTCAACATTAAATAGAATGAATCAGGTGAAGGTGGAAAGATTCAATACCATCTAAATACAGATGTAGTTTCCTTTATATTCTACAAGCAAATATGTCACTCCTTGTCATTTTCATGCAATATACAAATGCATTTTCTCAGAAATACAAAACGAAAGGACTTTTAAAATAAAACGTCAACAATTTTCACAATCCCAGATGTTTAACCTCATTTTATAATGAGTTTATAATGTCGACCACATTAATCATTTTGTACCATATTCTGTTATAAATCATATTGTGTTTCTTATCATTTAGTTTTTTAAATTCATACTAATTCCAATAGTTTCTTTATGTCTCAGTATCTCAGTATCTTATAATTTGGGTGTTTTCAGCATCTATATTATTTCATACCTTTCTCAACAGCAATAATCTTCCGTAGCTCAGAAAGATTCACTTTATGTAAAATGTGAGATGTCCCCTGTGTATCTGAGCAGAGGAACAGATTTACATCAGTGTGGCTTGGCTCTGATATTAACTCTGCATCCTCCCTGGTTTTCATATGTTGTGACATCAGGGACCAGTCTGTCCCCTCATCTTGTGTCTCATCCTGGCAGAGAGCAGGCCGATGAACACAGATGGAACATGTTGTCAGAGCAAACCAGAACACAAATGTGGGAAATGTTTCAGAAATTAAAATGCTGAATTTGTTCCTGCGGACATGTTTGCATTTGTTATGTGATTTATTTGTCTGTGCTGGGTATGGTCAGAATTTTGGTTTGTGATATCTATATATCTTTTCACAGGTTGCCTGTAAAACACATTGAGAACAAAATGGACTGATGGAAACAACAATCACAACATTGTAAAAATATTCCACTAATTAAAAAATAATAATTCATGTTCATCAAACACTTCATCTTATCTCAAATCAGCATGTTACTGACACCTAGTGGACAAACGTGTCCTTTAATTTCACTGCAGATTTTCAAACTATTATGTTTTGTTGCAGATGACCTAGATTGAAAAATCTTTCCTCTGCAAAAACAAAACCTTAACGTCTCTTTCATTCCCCTTTCGTTCGTCAACCCTCCCTATAAACCACTGCTTGTTTGAAAAGACCTGTTACCTTAGCAACTGATCAACACAGTGATTCAGCTCCAGGCCGAAGCAGCACAGGAAACAAGTTGTCAAATATCCAACATTTAAAAGAAGAAGAGGAGGACACGTTCAATGATGAGCCACAATTTGAAAGCGAATGAGTCACATTCCCAGATCCTCACACACGGTAAGACTCATGCATCTGTTACTCACTGATGATCAGATATCAGACATGATGTCATGCATGTGATTGATCATTAGAACAGATCTAAACCAATCAAAGCTGATTATAAAGCTACACTCGTTTACACTGGTCTCCAGATTCTTATTAATATTGTTATATTTCTACATTTCAACACATTTCAGAGGGAAATGTTGTTCTTTTTATTCCACCATGTTTATCTAAACACTATGAAATGAATTTGCAGGGCTGTGATCATCTGTGTGGAGGAACCAGGGGTAAATTATGATCTGTTTTTACATTTTAACAGCAGAAACCAACCAATGCTGTGGTGGGATGATAATTATAATGTTGTCTCAGATTGTACCTCAATGGATACATGTTGAACTGACTGGAGAAATCCATAAAAGGCTATTCAACTGAAATACTCCTAAAATAATCGTTGATGAAACCTGTTCATCCTCCTTCATATTGTTGTGACATTGACTCTTTATTTTGAGTTTTGCTTGTTTAAAAGGAAACACCCTTGTTCTTTTTAATCCAGCAGAGGGCGCTGAAACCACACACATGATGAGTTAAACTGCAACAATGTCAGGACGCAAAGGACAATTCAAAATGAGTAGAAGCTGTACTTTTGTTATAGAACGATTTACTTTCTATGAGACCTACAGAGG